AGAGCAAGACTGTGTCCCAAAAAACCAAGAGAAGAAAACAAAAACAACATAAGCCAGTTTGCCATTGTCTGGAATGAGAAAAGGTAGTGGCACTTAAAAAAAAAAAAAGATTATTTCTGACATAAAAAAATATTTGTTTAGTGTTGCCGGGGATTTAACCCAGGGCCAATATAGTTTAGGCAAGTACTCTACCATTGTGCTACGTTCCTAGCCCTTTTAAAATCTTTTTTTGAAATGTGGTGTTGGTTGCTTAGACTGGCCTCGAACTTTTGATTCTCCTGCTTCAGTCTTCCCAGGAGCTGGAATTACAGATATGTAAAAACATTTTTTTTTTTTTTTTTTTCTGAGCAGCAAAAGTTACTATGTAAGGGCTGAGGATTTAGCTCCTCGGCCTAAGTGCCTGCCTGATAAGCATGAGGTTGTGAGTTCAATCCCTGAAAAAAAAATTATTAAGTGGTAAAAAGAGTAAAAATAGGTCTAGTTGAGGCTAATACAAAGATGAGAAGATTGTGAGTATACAACAGGAAGTGAAAAAAAAAAAACAAAGATGAGAAGATACAAAGGCTAAGACACAGTCTGTGTGCTGTATAGTATCTCTGTAACACAGCGCCTACAGAAGACATGGTGGGTACGTCTGTGGTGCAGCAGAGACTGAGCTGACCTTTAGGCTTACATGCTGGAATTTCTTTCTGTGCTCATTTATTTAAAAATGAAAATAGATTTGGGCTTCCTCTCTGGTTATTTGATATTCTTTTGATAATAAACATTTATTTTTAGACTTAATAGGATGAAATAACTTTCTGCTTTATGAAAATAATAAATGATCATTGTAAAGAACCTTCAAAGCATAGAGAAAGTAACAGATGAAAAAGAAAAATTCCTGTCCCTCTGAAAGACTCTTTCCTGTCCTTCCCTCAGAGGTAACCACTGCTGTCTTGGCTGTTTATTCTTCCAGACATTTTCCAGTATTTATGCAGATACACTGCTCATTTTGGTTTTATATCACTGAATATTTTTGAAAATATATTAGTTCTGGAGTAGAATTATGCATGTCAAATAAATGAGTGAGCAAATAAAGAAACTGAAAGACTAAGGAACAAAGGAATTGACCTAAGAGAAGGATCATAAAAGGTGTGGTCATGGGAGTCATTTATAGGGCGAGGTCTGAGCACCGTGTTGGATTGTTAACATCTACCCCTTCATCTCTTTACACCTATGCCACCGTCTCACCAAAGGCAGTCTGTTTCTTATTCCTTGACTCTTGGCCCCATTAATGCTGTGGACAACAGACTGAGCAAAAATTGTGATACCTGGGTTTATAACTGAGAACTTTAGTTTTTGTGGTCTTGGAAGATAATCATCACGTGAAGCTGTCTGACTACACCACTGAAGCCAAATACACTTCCTAAAGGGAAAGAGACTATGGAGATAGATCCAGTTAGCCCCTAGCTATTAGAGCACTTTAGCTGGGACACTAGAAATGTGATGTAGCCATCTTGGATATTACAGCCCAAGTGAAGCCACCCTAGCTAATATTGCAGGATAGAGACAAACCATCACTTTTAGAGCATTCTGGCACAATAGAGAAGCAAAAAGTACAAAATGAACAGGTTTATTGAGTTGAGGATGTGTAAAGGAGCACACAATCTGTGGAAGTTGGGTTATCTCCTTCAACCAGGTACAGAGAGGCAGATGGTTATATGACCTCTGATCAGTAGTGGCACATGGGGCTGATATTGATGACGTGTGAGGAACCAATTGGAATTCTTTGTGTATGCAAACAGGAAGGGGAGTTGCAATTAGAGCTGAAGAAGAAGCAGGAAGTAGGAAGTGTTTCCACTTTGGCCTTCCGCCATGTTAGACCACCGCCATAAGGGTACAGTGATTTATACTAGGGCAAGAACCTTTCAATCACTACTTATCCTATTCATATTGCAGAACACTAAGCAAGTCAGTGCTTTTTGCCATTTTAAGCTATTGTATTTTGGTAGTGTGTCATGCAGTTTTGATATAATACCTTGACAGAAATTGTTGACTCAAAGTTGGGTTCTGGCATAATAAAACCTGGGCATGGTGGTGCATCCCATAATCTCAGTTTACGTGGGTGGCCGAGGCACAAAAATGGCAAGCTTGAAGCCAGCCTGGGCAACTGAGCAACGCTCTGTATCAAAAATAAAAATTTTAAAAAGTCTGAAGATATAACTCAATATAAGGTCCTTGGATCAATTCCCAGTAAAAAAAAATAATAATAATAAAATAAAATACAATAATTCTGGCACTGGTTTAGGGGTCAGCTCTTGGGTAGAGATTGGAAAGAAAGGTGATTAGTGAATTCTTTTAAAAACTTAGTTTGGCTTTCAAAATTTTTATTTTGAAAAAATTTTAGGCTAGCAGAAAAGTTGCAAAAATGGTAGCATTCATATATATGTACATTCTTCCTTCAATAGTCTTATGATTATTAATAGTAAATTACATTTTATCAAATCCAAGAAATTAACACAATGTACAGATCAGGTTTTCTGGAACTCAATGTGGGGCCCTACATTTGTAACTACTAATTTTGTCTCTGCAATATGGACAGTGGACTCTTCATAGAAGCTGTAGAAGCCCTGAGGAAATTGCTATTGGAAGTCAGAGAAACAGTGTTAGGAGTGGCTAAATCTCGGGTCAAGTTTTTGTGCAGTGAAACACAGACAATAGACTGTGTACTTCATCAGTGTGTGAATCTGCAAAGGAGATGCTTAGGCTGATTATTGCAAGTGTTGGCTGGCTGCCTTCTTTTACTGATGCCTGATGGTACACAAGCAAAATATGCTGGTGTCACCAGAAAGACATGTGATTGAAAAAAGGAAATATTGTTTTTTAAGCAGAACATAGAGAATGTAAACAAACCCTAGGAGGCTCCTTAGCCTGCAAGTCTCAAATCAGAAATGGCTTCAGGGACCTACAGTGTGGCCTCAAGGTAAAGATCCAGACTCTGATAAGATGCTGGTTTTCCTTTAGACAAAGGGATTTCCAAGAATCTCAGTGGCTGTCATTCAGCAGTTACCTCCACAAGTCCAAATTAGAGATAGAGGTTTCTTTTTTTTTGAGTCAGAGGCTGGTTATGTAGTTCAGGTTGGCCTTGAACTCACTGTATACTACAAATTGGTCTTGAACTCACTGCATACCACAAATTGGCCTTGAGTTTGAGGTGATCCTTCCCGACTCAGACTCAGAATAGTGGGATTACAGGTATATACCACCATACCAGACCGAGAGGTTTGTTTTTGAAAGAATTATAGAAATTGCTTTGTGGGCAAGAAGTGAACCCTGATTGGTATGGTGGCACACACCTTTAATACCAACTCTTGGGAGGCTGACACAGGAGGATTGCCATGAGTTTGAGGCCAGCCTGGGCTATGTAGTGAGATCCTGCCTCAAAAAAAAGAAAGAAAAAGAAAAAAGATTTCAAAGTGTTAGCCTGGACCTCAGACAGTAGTCAGGAGATACTGAGGAAGCACCTAAAGAGACGGAGTGCCCCTCTACCATCTCAGCTACCCCTAGCTGAGGTACTAGACATGTGAGTGAAGGTATCTTGGACTTTGCAGACCCTGCCAAACTCACAGTTGAGGGGAACACATGTATTTCCCAAGTTCATATCATTAGGGAACAGAAGAACTGACTTTTCCAAACTGCAGAACTGTGATTATTTTAAGTAACTTAAGTTTTAAAGTTTTTAAAAAATCAATCAGTAGATAACTGAAAGTTATCAAAAGATAATATTTTTATTGCCTTCACTTTATGGGCTGGGATGGTGTCAGCTAAAGAAGTCAAGTTTTAAAATTCCATAAAGGTAGACTGTATGCCAGTCTTTGCTCTGTTCATAAACCTTGTTCATATTTTCTTTGGTGGATGCCAGTAATTCCTGCACTTTAGGAGGCTGAGGCAGGAAGATCTCAAGTTCAAGATCAACTTGGCAACCTAGTGACTTAATGAAGATGTTCCCAAATAAAAAATAAAAAGTAAGCTGGGGATATAACCCAGTACAAAATGTTTTTCTGTCATTCTCTGCTCCACCCCTCCACCCTTTTTGCAGGACTCTGGATTGAACCATGAGTTTCACACATGCTGGGCAAGTGCTCTACCACTGAAGTCCCAATTGTTTCATTAGTTTGAGGACTTGTTAAGTTGCCCAGACTGGTCTTCCACTTGTGATTCTCCCGTCTCAGCCACTAGAGCTGCTAGGATTACAAATGTGTGCTACTGTCTTACCCACTTCTCTCTTGGTGCTGAGACAAAATACCTGACACCCAAAGCTAAAGAGGGAAAAATTTATTTAGTTCATGGTTTGTAGAGGTTTCAATCCATACTCTGCTATCTCAATGGGCAGAGTGGCTTGGCAGAGGCACTGCAGAGGAGAACAGTTTATGGCGAGCAGAAGATAGCAAAAGCAAGCAAGGGACCTAAACAGTGTCTTTCTGCATCTTTTATCATATGCACAGTACTTGGGATGGGTAGTACTCACCACCTTAATCCTAATGCCCTGATCCTAACATTACATCATGAATCAATTGTAGCATCACACATTCTAGTTCAGGTCACTTCTGAAGTCCTGCCTATGATCACACGAGGCTTTGAGGGGACATTTAGGCATAAGCCATAACAGCCACCAAGGCACAGTTTCTAAATCACACACAATTTCTGATTTCCCTAGAATCACCCAGCTCAAACCCTATGTCTGTCAAACTAATGATTTTCTATAGCACAACTCTCTGCTGAGATGGGAAAATAAAGTCATCTGAATTAACTTTCGGAGAGATTTTAGGACATGAAAGGCTTATAGAGACATTTTCTTTTAGAATATTGCTTTTCGTATGACCCATGCAATGCTTTCTGCAGAACGTCTTGGGAAAAGTGTCTATATTTAAAAGAACAATATTTATTACTAGGATGAATGAAATATAGGGAAAGCCTTCAGAACCCTGGAAGAATGGAGCAGTTTAAATGAAAACCAAATGTATTTTTTGTATTTTATTGTTCTTTATTTAGAAAACACTAAAAAAACATAAAAATAGAGAGGATTGCTTAGAAATTAAAGCCATTGATTTGGGTCTCTTCTTCAAAGGTCAGTGTGTGGGAGATGAGAAAAGCACTATAGCGACTGAATAGTCCCACAAAAGACATTTTAGCAGCAAATCTACAAAGAGCACATCTACTATTTATATCACCTACATCAAGTTGCTGTTTATCCAAGAAACTAAAAAAGAAATTTTCTCCAAACATTCTTTGGGTATAGTAGTAATACAGTTTTGGAATCAGTTATTAGAAATTATAATTAAAGCTGGTTTATCATGCTCCCTAGTTATTCTATAAAGTCTCCGTGAAGCTTTATATACTTCTCCCTTTGTTACAAGCTTCTATTTCTCCCTAAGGCATGCTGAATCCAGACAGGTAATGAAATGAGGTGTCTGCAAACCAGTGTATTTGAAAATCTGTTCACTAACAAAATATTTGAAGTAAAAAAAATTATTTTTCTTGTGCACCGGGCCAGGCCATTTGTAGGTTTTAGCTTTACCACATGGGGAAGGAAAAAGTGAAGAAAAACAAAACTTGAAAAAGGCTACAACAATTATTTCTTTCAGGAACACACAACATTGAGAAAGGCAGCAGATTTCTGTTCAGCAACTCCCAACATCCAGCTGATATTGCTATCAGTCTGGTCAAATATATGCTAACCTAGGTGATCCTTTCATTCACCACTAGAGAGAAGTAGAGGGACCTGATGTTAAGCAGCAAAACCCATTTCCCGTTTTCTTCCTGCTCTCATATTCCGGTGCTTGAGGGCAGTGATGCACATCCTCTCTCTGTTTCAGAATACGTGTGCCATGGGAATCGAAGAAGATCCTCTCCAAGCTAATAGCTAGCAAGACAGAAATGCACCTCGTTTTGTTTTCTTCCAGGGAAGCAGATTCAGATCTGCTCAGATGCTGTGAGACTGATTGTCACACAGGGTAGGCTCCAGGGGAGGGGTAGAATAAGGCAGACTAGTAACTAAGACTCTGGGGACAGATCAGCAACCTGCGAAACACCAATGTGGGACCTTTTACCCTCCCAATCTACTTCCCTTGATCTAACTTTATCTTCATTTCCCGTTCCCCACAGAGCAGTAGTAGATAACTGAGCACACACTGGTCTGGTTTTTACCATGCAATCTAGTAAGCACACCTAGACATCCCGGACTCCTTATCCTTGGTGATTTGTAAAATAAATCTCTAACTCACTCTAGGCTGTGTGAACAGGATTTGCATATTTAGAAACCAAATGGGGGGTCTTTCTCACACTCTTCCCAGAATGGTCTCCATTTCCTTTTGCACTTAAGGTCCCTGCCTCCTCAAGTGGACCAGAACCGAGCACAAAAACAGCCTCCAATAAATATCAGCACTGAAGCTTCAGCAGATTGTTGCCTCCTGCAGAGCTGTCTTAAAGATGCTGCATATAAATGCTAGACTTAAGTAGCCTCAGAGATCTCTAAGAACACTGTAAATATCCCTGGTTTAATTAGTAGTCCTGGAGTTAGGTAATGGCTTGTGGCTGAGCTAGTCCTCTTGAGGTTTCCAGTCTTCAGGGACTGTCTGCAACTATGGTGTGCACACACATGATCTTCTTTCTCATATGCTTCATAAATCTTTACATTTTCCTAGGAAACTACTGACAATTATTACAACATACATGCTTATCCATTCCCATTCCCCCAATTTCTAAAATGACCCAGTGCCCAAGTCTCAAGGCAGATACTTATGGATTAAAATTGTTTTCTTGAGTTCTACTTCCCCAGGGAAAGAATTAAAAAGGAAGAAATTCCTAGGTTGGTGTTGATTGATGTTAGTTCTCCCCAGGCAGAAGGTAGATATTTGCTTTGTAGCTGATTGATGGGGGAGGGGAAATGGGTTCTAGCCTTCAGCATTTCTGAATTAGCTGACTTTTCGCCACAGATCAACCAATATGGTTTGTAAGGAGACTTGACATATTTGTTCTGGGCTGATGCTGTTAACTAGGTTTTCTGACAAGAAAAGCAGACTGTACAGTAGGTGGGGCGCGCTCACCAGTTAAGGGGTAGCGACTGGAAGTTGTGCCAACTGGCAAACCCAAGCAGCAGGCAGCAGAGATAACTTCTTCGCTCTAGGAGCTTAGAGCCAGAAGAGTTCTTAATCTGCTAGGGGATGCGTCGGACCTCCTCCCACCCTCAGCCCTCCTCCCACGGTTGGGAGCACGCAGTGTGGGCAGACCCTGGGCGAGGAGCCCCGGGTATCGGTCCTTAGGCTTGCTCTGTTGAGACAGGCGCGGGTACTGACAGCCTGGTGACTCTCCAGCCTCGCGGTCTGCAAGGCTAGGCGGCGGCCAGCGGAGCCGGGCGGCGGGGGCACGTGCTTGGATGTGGTGCTTGTGTAACCAGTTTCCCAGGCGCTCGCTAGACAGCGCTCCCGCGGGAATCTCGTCGGTGCCCCCTTTTCCTCCGCGTCCCGCAGGGGAGTGGGTCCTACTGCGCTGACCCGGCGTGAGTACCAAGCGAAGGAAGCGAAGCACTTGCCGCAGCAGCTAAGGTAGAGCAGAGGGAATTTGGAAAGTTCCCCAACTAGGCGCACACGTGACCTCCTCCTGAAAGTAGTTCCGACGGCGGCTCTGGTATCCTTCCACCTCCTTTTGAACCCTCCTAGGCTTCCTCGCCCCGCCCACTCGCAGGGCTGCAGCTTCCTACCGTTCTGTACTGCACACTCAGGCCTCCGGCTGGCACGGTCCAGCGGGGGACGTGCAGGGCCTGGCCCCGGGCGATCCGTTCTACCAGGTTTTCACCGTGGCCGAAAAGGGGCGGGGCGAGAGAGCCTCTGAGGACCGAACTTGGGTTCTCTACGGAAAAGATGCTAGGCTCTCGAGGGGGCGGCGGGCATGGGGGGGGGGCGTTCTTCACGTGTGGGGATCCACCTTCAGCCTACCTGCACAGATGTCCTCTGCGCCCTGGAAATCCAGGGGGATGTGTCTGTATTCACACTTGGTGCGTTGCCGACAGTTATTCTTTTTTGGGGCAAATAAACTGCGTTCCGTAGGAAGCGTGGGGCTGCGAATGGGAGCCGGTGAGGCGATACCCGCAGGAGACACAATAAGGAGTTGTTCTTTGTGCAAAGACTGACACCTTGAGAACACAGTGGGGGAATCGCTAGGTAAAGGCTGCTTGAGCCAAATTCTCGTAAACTACTGAGCTCCGAGAGCAGCGCCTACGGACGGAACCAGAATGCAGGCCAGACGGGCACGATCTAGTGGCAGGGGCCGGGGAGGGTGGAGTGTCTTCGCTGCAGGCATCGTCCCTGCAGTCCCCTGCACAGGCACCGGCCAGCGCAGTCACCTGGTCCTTTCCACCTGTGTGCACAGGTAATGAGACGAGATCAGTGACACTGCTCAGTGCACACGTGGAGCTCTGACCATCAGCTCCCCAATCACCATCCTCGTCCCGACCCAGTCTACCCTGCCTCTAGCCGGGTTTCCGGGCATAGGCTGAGGCTCATTCCCACCCCGCGCTGCTGCAGCAGGAGCAGCAGCGGCTAGCGCTAGAGCAGCTTGGAGCCGGCGTCTGGGAGCAAGCTCCGGCGGTCATACTGGGCATGCTCAGTAGCGCCTACGAGGCGGGTGTTGTTGGGGGAGTCGCGCTCGCCCTGGCGCAGCCGCTCCCGCCCCTTCTTAATCCAACCCTCCCACGGCGCGGCCCGGCCCGGCCCGGCCCGCCCCTGGCTCGCCTCCCCGACTCTCCGCCTCCCCTCGGGCTCTCAAGGCGCCCGGTTCCCGGCGCGGCGGCGGACGGTGATGTGGCGGGACTCTTTGTGCACTGCGGCAGGATACGCGATCGGACGCCGGGACGCGGCTGCGCTCAGTGCTCTCCTCTCGGAAGCTGCAGCCATGATGGAAGTTTGAGAGTTGAGCCGCTGTGAGGCCAGGCCCGGCTCAGGCGAGGGAGATGAGAGACGGCGGCGGCCGCGGCCCAGAGCCCCTCTCAGCGCCTGTGAGCAGCCGCGGGGGCAGCGCCCTCGGGGAGCCGGCCGGCCTGCGGCGGCGGCAGCGGCGGCGGTTCTCGCCTGCTCTGGGGCTTCTCTTCTAACCGCGCCGCTTCGTCTCGTCTTCTCCGGAGAGGAACGGTGGAAGCCGCGGGCTCGGGCGGGAGCCGGCGGGGGCTCGGCGGCGGTGCCTCCCGCTCCTGGAGCGGGGGGGAGAAGCGGCGGCGGCGGCCGCGGCGGCGGGGAGGGGGCCGGAGTCGCCTGTCACCATTTCCAGGGCTGGGGACGCCGGAGAGTTGGTCTCTCCCCTTCTCCTGCCTCCAACACGGCGGCGGCGGCGGCGGCGGCACCTCCAGGGACCCGGGCCGGCTCTAAGCCTCCCCTCCGCCGCCGCCGCACCCCCCCTGGCCCGGGCTCCGGAGGCCGCTGCAGGAGGCAGCCGTTCCGAGGATTGTTCGTGGTCTCCCCATCCCGCTGCCGCCGCTGCCAGGCCGCTGGCTGCTGAAGAGAAGCAGGCCCAGTCGCTGCAACCATCTAGCAGCCGCCGCAGCAGCCATTACCCGGCTGCGGTCCAGAACCAAGCGGTAGCAGAGCGAGGGGCATCGGCGACCAAGTCCAGAGCCATCTCCATCTTGCAGAAGAAGCCCCGCCACCAACAGCTTCTGCCATCTCTCTCCTCCTTTTTCTTCAGCCACAGGCTCCCAGACATGACAGCCATCATCAAAGAGATCGTTAGCAGAAACAAAAGGAGATATCAAGAGGATGGATTCGACTTAGACTTGACCTGTATCCATTTCTGAGGGCTGCTCCTCTGCTTTTCTGTCAACCTCCTATGAAGTAGGATTAGACGGATGCGGAAAATTTCCGTAACCCTGGTCGCATTTGTCGCTCAGATATTTTTGCCTCTCTTTTCAGTGTATTCTACGTAGGGTGTGTTTCGCTAGACGGAACTCAAGCCTGGTTGCAAGTGTCAGTGCACAGATTGGTTTCTTAGTCTGTCTCTGTGGTCTGTTCCTGAGGGCTATTGTCCATTAAGGCAGAATACAGTACACTGATAGTGGATTAGTGAGCTCGGTAATCCTGTCTAATAAAAAAGACGCTTTGAGGTTCAGCATATTTCGATTAAATCTTGGCTTAGGCCCTAGATCAAGGGTATAGATCAGATTAAAATGAAAATTAATGTTGCACGTAAGCATATTGCATCAGAATCTCGCAGTGATTGTTTTTAGTTTCCTGGGTTGCATTGATAGATTCTTTTAAATTATGAGTTGTGGACTGATTTGCATAACTTTAAAAGCAGAATCTTCATCCTATGTGGTACGCCTTTGTGGGCAAAGGTAGGTTTATATATTTAAACTGAGTTATAACTTTGAATTGCATTGAGAAGTTTTGTAGTTTTGAAATCCATATTGCCATGGTATACCTTATAAGGAACTCTATCGATTTTTGTTAAATTCGGCTTATGGAGTAATGCAGGAATAGGGTATGAAATTTGCTCTTCAGCAGCGTTTTATTTTCCGTGGCCTTGTCGTATATAATAGAATAGAGAATAAGTAGTTTTTTATCAGGATGATCGTGTCCTGTAAGTTCAAGGGTATTGTGTGCAGCAAATGATAGTTACAGAGGTTAAACTTGAACTCTCACTTGAAATTTAAATATCGTATACCAGAATTACTATTCTCACCCTGTTTTAGATTTTAGGTATTCTGACACCTTTTAGGTATCCGTTAATTACCTGTGTAGACTGTGAGGTAGAGTTTACCAGCGATTATCCAGAAAGGCTGGTAAGAATGGATTCTCCAGCTTCAGGTGTAGTATGTTAGCTTTTTGCATAGTGTGTTAAATTCATTGAGTCAGCTCGTTGAATCAGACGGAAACCTAAGAATTTTAAAGGTACATAGTTTTGCTTGCTTAAGAATTAGACCTACTTCAAAAAGTTAGTGGTTATAGAAAACTATTGATCTTTTCAGTTTCAGCTAAACCAAACTTGATTTTGATGAGGGATGGTGATACAGCACTCCTTTTTGCAGAATGTCAAGTATTGACAGGAATTGAGAGGTTATTGGTAGGCCATTAAGTGTATGAAAATAAATTACTAGTCTGAATGACTGAAGCATTAGGATCTACCAGGACTTCTTTTAAGGCCTCAAATTTGGTGCTGTGAATTTAGCAGTGGACAATATTTAGTTAAAATTATGTAATTGTGTCTTAATAGTTTTTTTTTTTTTTTTAAATTTTTTTAGCAGAGTTAGCACTTGAACCCACGGCCTTGCACAGGCTGGGTTAGCACATTACCATCGAACTACCCCAGCCCAATAGGTATTCTTACTAAGTTATTTACTAGCAAATATCAGTAAATGTTATGTTTAAAGGTAGAGTAGCACCAAAGTCTATCTCCTACTGATGTGGGGAGTATTTTTTGTTTTTTTTTTTTTTTAAAGTAAAACGTCTTTATTTTGGAATAATTTTATTCTTTGAGATATTATTAGCTACATATAAACATGCACGGATAATTTTTTCCATTTTCATTTCGCAATGAAGATGAAATTATTGGAGAAGTAACTGCACAAGACTTTTCTGTTAAAAATAATATCTTAAAAGAACTACAATGTTTGCAAATTTTGGCATCTGCATTAATTAATTGGCCATCTTGTCCAAAACATAATTGGGGAAGAATTCTGATTTATGGTTTAACTTCAAAAGGAGCCTATTACAAGCATATAAGATACATAAGAATAAATTTGATTTGTATATAACATTTTAAAAACCCCATAGAAAGAAATTATTAGAATTCTCTCTGACATAGTTCAGCTTTCAGAATGTGATTATGCTATTTTTACTTTTCTCACTTTACAGTTGTTACTGTTTGTATGACTTTAATATTTTGCAAGATCTTCAATATGTGAGCAGTGAAGTGTTTGGTAGTTTCTCCTTTGATTTCATATTATGTGGGCCTCTGCACCTGAAATTTATATGACTTAAAACTGCTTTTAGTTGTGGTATGCGTAGAAGACAGTATCAAATACTGCATCAAATGACTAATTACATTTAATTTCTAGAGTTGTGGTTTTATTGAGCCAGATATTGTTATGAAAAATGTCAGTGAAGACCTTGCTCTTTTGATAGTTGTATTCCCAATAATTTGCTTACTCCAAAGCTCTTTGATTTGCTGGGTTTCAGTTTTCCTTGCTGGGGGGGAGGTTGCATTAAAATGGTCATTGAAGACATTGAATTGGCAGGTTGTAGTGTCTGTTTCAGCCACTAACTTGGTGAAAGTTAAATTATTTATAAAAATATGAATGGAATATTTTAATTTGCTAATGAAGTGATTTCTCAGAGGAAACTGTGGATGTTGATTCAGTTTTAAAATACTTTGCAAAATTGAATTAATGTAACAGTTTATTAGTGTAGTTTTAGTAATGTTAGTCTAAAAAGGACTGCTGAATATGGGACTAAAAAATACAGTGTCTAGGGTGTGTGGAAACTCTGGGCTTCTTTTGCAGTTTTATTGTTTGGTAGATACGCAGTATTTTCAGATATCGATCGATGTTCTGTAAAAAACATTTTTAACGTGTGGGAGAGTAGAGTGACCATTAAAGTCAGCTGTATTTTTAGACTGAGATTATTGAAATTAATTCTAAGATGTTTTAAAAAAACTTCACAAAAATTTTTATGTTTTTAAAATTATATCTTTTGAAAAACATGAGTGAATTATCTGATTGTTGTACAATAATTTGCTGTTTTGTTTTGTTTTGTTGAGACAGACTCACTAGATAGTTCAAACTAATCTTGAACTCACTTTGTAG